TAGGATTTTAATGAAGCTGTCTGCGGAAAAACACTCCGATGTTGCCGTGAGGACCACAACACAACAACAGGTATCTGCTCTCTTTCTGTGACAGGTCAGTCTCTAATGATTTCTGTCTAAAACCCAATTCCTCTTGTTTGAGAGGAATGGCGTGGGGGGGAAGGAAATAAAAAACACAACATGGCTTAAATTCCAAGAAAGAAGCAAGCTGAGGAAAGCAAAATATGTTAGTGAGCACGTACGCTGCCACACCAGAGATTTTCTCAGGTGCTCGCTGGCCTTGTTCATGCTTAAATGCTGCAAACTTTGTGATACCACCCTGCTTTTATCCTCAGGCCTAAAATCAGATGCCCTTTCAAAAAGGAGCCTTATAGGTGAAGTAAATTCTTCTTTCTGTTCAAAGGCCCATGCAGCCTTCTCTTTGCAAGACTTACTTTCTTGCTTTTTTGTGGATGAAACCGGTGATGTAGCTTTCTGGTTTGCTGGGGCACTTCAGAGCACCAATGCAAAATTAGCATATCTTAGGAGATTGGAAAATCTTGGGCCAAAACAGGAGGCATCTGTGGCCTCAAATTAGCACGCTGCTAATTTGCAGGGTATGCAACACAACTTGCACAAAGGAGCAAGTTCCAGCAGAAGGCCAAATTTCTTAATTACACATGAGCCACAAGTGTATCATCGTCATCACAGGTGACAATGTTTTCCAGACCGGCCTCCCTTTCTGACCAAGCAAACTCCCCAAGGCATCAGAAGGGCCACTATTATTGCTCTAGTTTTACTGTAAAAGCCTTCCTTTTCGGAAAGTAAGTATTACGCTTCCCAAGCAATTGCCAGCTGGTGTAGTTTTTTTTGCCTCCCTCTCGTTACTGCATTTTTTTCACTCTTTTTGGGAGGAATGACTCCAATAGAGGCTCCCAAGTTTGGGATGTGCCTCTTGAATTCAGGTCTAGCGTTTGCTTCTTGTCACATCAGCAGGCAGGTTTCTTGAGGCTTTTCTGTTTGTCCCGTGAAACCAAAAGGCATCCAGAGAGTCTAGTAAGATGTATAGTTTTCCCTGTCTGAATCAGGGTTTCATAATGTTTGCCCCAACAGGAGCTGGAGCATCACATCATTGCACACCTTCTCTGCCTGCTCATCACTCACATGCCTCAGAGATCAAAAAACATCTGAGGAGGGGATGCTCCTACAGTAAGTATTTATTCCTGCAGAATCATTATGCATTTTGCAACAGATCATCTCTGACATGTGCATTAGAGGAGTCACAAGTTTCAGTAGGTGCCCTTTATTTTGTCTTCTTGCAGCACTTCTTTTCACCTGCTTCTGCACTCTGAACTGAACAAGCAGATATTGTTGCGCTGTGAACATGGGCACAAGGATCCTCTTGCTCCTTCTGACTATTCAATCTCACCACTGAGTGCAATCACTGGCTTCCGCGTCACCTACGAATGCCAGAAATCCCAAGACTGGCAGCTGTGTGTGCGTGTGTGCTAAGAAACAGTATTAAACCAGCAGGATACTGCCTTTTTTTTTTTTTTTTACGTCTACTGTCTGACGCTAAAACATCATTCTAACTCACTTTTTTATCTTCCCTGGGGGATCGAAATACAGTAGTAGGATAGCAATATTGCAGACAGATGTTATGTGCATGAGAAAAGGATTTATATTTTAAAGTTATTGGAGATAGCTCTCAAGCTTTAAAAAACATGAAAGCAGATCATGTTAAACTAAATGAGCTCTCAGTTTTAGCTCTGGAAACAATCATGTTAAATTACCCTTCTTGAGTTAAAACCCCAGCCACTGATTTCTGCTTGTCCCCTGCCAAAAAAGAATTGAAATCTTGGTTTTGTTTGAGGTACCAACTGATGCTTGGAACTCTGCAAGTTTGACAAGTGAATATGGAATATTTCTGCAGTCAAAGAAACAATGATGGGAAAACAGCATATTCCATAATGTGCACATCGGCCAAAAACAGGGTCTGCTAACCATTTTGAAATAGTTATTTAGCATTTGTAGATAATAATTAATGTTGAGATATAAATACAGATGTAGAAATAATGGTACCAAATTGCTTTAGAAAATCAAAATAGTCTGTTTTGTGTTAACGGAGTCTCTGTCAAGATTCTGGTCTCCTTGCTTCTGGTTCATGGAGAGATCAGCTTCTAGAGTATTCTATACCTCAAGATTCAGTGAGAAAAGGAGATGAATGAGAAAAACCCTCTTAAACATGAAAGAAAATATCGAAAAAATAATTTTAAAAAGTGGGAAGTGTGGGTATGCATTCATCTCATATGATACCTTTTTGTATATATGTCCATTTCTTTTCTACCAGAGTAGATTTTTTGTGTGTAGAGGTAGGACACAGCAAGAGACTCTCACTTCCAGTAAGCAGCACTGCCATCTCTCTATCTAGATGTCTTTGTCTCTCGCTGCCTTTGCTTATCCATCTCTTCCAGCCTGCAAGCTTCTCTGTGATTGCTTAATTTTGGTCGTGTTTACTTTTGGAAGATAAAAGATGGAAAGCTATGCATGTGCTGGAGTTTTATTGGCCTGCTTTAACTTGATTCTAGAAAGCTCTGCCAAAGAACCAAGCATTCAAGTGCGTCTAAAGACATGATATCCAAGCCGTGATATTAAATACACCCCTGCAACAGGTTTGTTGCATTTGTTGTTAGACAGTCTACTGCTGCTACAGATCTGGAGCTGCAATGTAGTTTAAATTACTTAAGCCCTCTCCGCTCCCCTCCCCAACCCGCCGCGGAGACACCGCCGCCTCACGGACGCCGCAAGATGGCGGCGGGGGCCCCCCGGCCCTCCCCCCCTCCCCCGGGCTCCCGG